TACCCTAAGTTTTTGTTTCACATGTTTTGTACTCTGTCATTAAACACCCACAGATTTTTTACTGTTATGCTTTCTTGGAGTTAAATTTTATCCCTGCATAGTATGACATGCTTAGGTGTGATTTTCTTTCTATTTATTCCCTTTGGGGTTTGCCAAGTATCTTAGATCCCCAAATTAATGTTTTTCACCCAATTTAGGGAATTTTCAGCCATTATTCCTTCAATTTGTGTGTGTGTGTGTGCCCCATTCTCTCTTTCCTGCCCTTTGGAATACCATTTACACATATGCAAGGCTGCTTTATCTATCCCATATATCACAGAGTCTGTCCATTTTCTAAATCCTGTCTTGGTGTCTTGGATTGGATAAGTTCTAATTATTCCTCCTCATAGTCCCCAACCATACCCTCTGCCATCTTCATTACTGTGTTAAGCCCATCCAGTGGATTTTTCATTATAGACTCCATACTTTTCAAGTCTGGATTTTCCATTTGTTTTTTGTCTTTGTTTTTAGGTTACCTTTCTCTGCTCAGATTCCCCCATTTGTTCATTATTTTTGGTCATATTTTCTATTTAGGTCTTTGATGGACATATTTATAATAGTTGCTTTAAGGTCCTTATCTGCTAATTCCAACATCTAGATGACCTTGGAGTTCTTTCAATTGACTTCCTTTTCTCCAGACCAGAATTCACAGTTTTCCTGTGTCTTTGTAATTCCAGGGGTTTTTTATGGGATTCTGAACACTGTGGATGACAAATCTTTTCCAGATTTTGCAATTGTTATCTGTGATCCAGTTAGTGTGATGCATGCCTCTCCACAATTATTGAGAACCATTTGGTTGGGCTTTAATTTCATAATTTTGTATGCCAAGGACCTGGATTAGTTGACAGTTACATAATTCTTTGCAGCCTTAAGATTTCTGGTTATTAGGAATAAGTTTTGTTTGTCTCATCGTTTAGTATGATTGATAACTATCAACAAATACTGATATTACAGCTACTGTGTAAAGCATGGCCTTTGTCTTCAAAAACTTTTATTTTTTTTAAGATTTTTTATTTTTTTATTTTATTTATTTATTTTTAAAGATATTATTTATTTATTTGACAGAGAGAGACACAGTGAGAGCAGGAACACAAGCAGGGGGAGTGGGAGAGGGAGAAGCAGGCTTCCCGCAGAGCAGGGAGCCC